GTGAGCCCTGGGTCCACATGGAGTGACACCACTTTGAACAGATGAGCAGAAGCGTGCTAAACACATACACTGTTTAATGCTCTCATTGTTTGGACGCAGATATCGGAGTCATGGTAGCTTTCACCCTGAGGAGACCAGGTGGGTATGGACGTTTCTGTGTGTATCTTGACTTATCTTTGGGTGGCCCTGGGAGGAGATTCAATAGACCCTAAGCCAGAGACTTGCATCCTTTTTTGGGAGTGTATGTGGTGGGGTTCCTGTGCTGGAAACCTTGGCACACTGGAGGGGAGTGTGTGATGGCAGCAGCCTTGAAGACTTACCAGGCAATTCTTCCTGAGTTACTGGTTGATCCCAATACATTGGGATCTTCTTCTTTTCAATTTAATTTTATCTGTGTTATAAATATATCTCTTAAATTGAAGTATACTTGCTTTACAATGTTGTGTTAGTTTCTGCTCTACTACAACATGTGTCAACTATATGTATACATATATCTCTTTCCTCTTGAGCCTCCCTCCCTGAATCCCACCCTTTGTGGCCTCTGACAACCTCTTGTTTGTGAAAATGGGTAATAATAGCATCTGTCTCATGCTTGGTATATTTTGGGGATCCTAAGAGCTAATGTGTATAGCCTGGTATTTCATGGAACATGGTGAGTGTCAAAGTATGTTTAAAAAATTTTAAACTCAGGGGAATACTGTAGAATATTTTCTTATCATCAAGAAAATAATAATCTATAGCACATTTAGGGCTTCCCTGATAGCTCAGTTGGTAAAGAATCAGCCTGCAATGCAAGAGACCCTGGTTCAATTCTTGGGTCGAGAAGATCCACTGGAGAAGGAATAGGCTACACACTTCCTTATTCTTGGGCTTCTCTTGTGGCTAAGCTGGGAAACAGTCCGCCTGCAATGTGGGAGACCTGGGTTCAATCCCTGGGTTGTGAAGATCCCCTGGAGAAGAGAAAGGCTACCAACTCCAGTATTCTGGCCTGGAGAATTCCATGGACTGTATAGTCCATGGGGTCGCAGAGAGCCGTCACGACTGAGCGACTTTCACTTCACTTCATAGCACATTTCGCATTGTCTAAGCATTGTGTCCTTTTTAAACACCACTTGGTGGTTAGATAAGAAATATTGTGTTATATGTGAATGAAACAAGCTCATCTGAGCTAAGCATCCAGCCCCAGATTCTGGCGCTAACAGGCGGGTTCATGCTGGGCCCTGAGCTGGGTTCTGTCTCCAGTTTACCTTCTGCTGCCTGATCTGCCAGCGACTCAATATTTCTGGGTTGGCTGTGTCCTCTCTCTACTCTGGATGTCGTGGGGCTGAGGAGGAGAAATCAGCTTTCACACTGGACATCATGCTGGGAGTCTCCTTGAGGACTGACTCAGGGTTCCAGGCAAACAACCTTGTGTGTTTGTGAAACAAATATTAACCCCTTTCCAGAGAGCGGAGTGGGTTGTCAATTCTTTGGGCATTACTAGAAGGGTTCTGGCTTCCTCTGCAGGGGGTCTGAGCTGTGATCTTCTCAAAACTGATTCTTCCCCCAAATCAATTAAAAATCTCTGAAGGTGGTTCTGGATGTTGGCATATCTGAAACCTCCTAGGTGTATCTAATAGACAGCAGAGTTAAGAGCTCTTGGTTTTAAGGGGTAGGGGTGCCTGTCTCAGGCAGATTCTTTACCACTGAGCCACCAGGAAAGCCCTAAATTGGATATTACATTTAAACGAGTTGCATGAATTTTTTCAGTTTTCTGATGCATCTAAAAGGTGTTCAGGGAATTCTCTGGTGGTCCAGTGGTTAGGGCTCATGACTCTCACTGCCAAGGGTCTGCATTCAATCCCTGGTCAAGGAAATAAAATCCAGCAAGCTACATGGTGCAGCCAATAAACAAAGTGGGGGGTTGGGGGGTGTTCATACTATACTGTAGTGTGCAAAAGGATTATGTCTTAAAGAATGTATGTACCTTAATTAAAAAATATTTTATTGCTAAAAATAATAGTTTATAGTGAAAAAAGATGCTGAGCGTTCAGTGAGTAATAATCTTTTTTTCTGGTGGAGAGTCTTGTCTCAATGTTGATGGCTGCTGACCACTCTGTCAGGTTGGTGGTTGCTCAAGGTTGGGGAGACTGTGGCAATTTCTTTAAAATAAGACAACAGTGAAGTATGGCCCACCAATTCATGACCAATTTCTCTGTAGCATGCAATGCTGTTTGATAACATTTTACTCACAGAAGTGGTCAAGGAAATAAAATCCAGCAAGCTACATGGTGCAGCCAATAAACAAAGTGGGGGGTTGGGGGGTGTTCATACTATACTGTAGTGTGCAAAAGCATTATGTCTTAAAGAATGTATGTACCTTAATTAAAAAATATTTTATTGCTAAAAATAATAGCTTATACTGAAAAAAGATGCTGAGCGTTCAGTGAATAATAATCTTTTTTTCTGGTGGAGAGTCTTGTCTCGATGTTGATGGCTGCTGACCACTCTGTCAGGTTGGCGGTTGCTCAAGGTTGGGGAGACTGTGGCAATTTCTTTAAAATAAGACAACAGTGAAGTCTGCCACGTGGATTGCCTCTTCTAAGAGGTGGGACACCTCTCCCTCCTCCCATGCCCACGACAGCAGCCTAAGGCGTGCCCCGATTCCTCAGTCCCCAGCTGCCCCGTGGGAGAGTTCAGAACGCTGAGGCCCTCCGTGATGAACACTTCTGCTCCCTAAAGGTGTATTCAGTTTCCTCTGGTAGGTACTCTTATTTATTGGTAGCAACTTCCTGTTACCAAATGGAAATAGCTCAGTCCTCTCATCTGAGAGCTCTCTGGCCAGGTTCCCAGGAACATCGCTTCTGCCTCCGTGAAATGATCACAGGCAGTGAGCCTTTGGGGACAACAGTAGCAATTCAGGTTTGGAAGGCGCTGGCCGTGGTACCTCTGCTGGGTAACTCTCCTTTGAAAACAGGAAAGGAAAAACTATTATTGGAAATTTTCTTCAAGACTTTCAGGAAAGAGGGATTTCCCGGGTGTAGCTAAGGTTCCTGGGAGATGTAAAAGGGTGTTCTTATCACAGCTGATGGCAAATAAAAGTGGGAACAATACCACCTAAAAAAAGAGTATGTTTTAATACTCTCCATATCCTGGACACTGTCCTAGGTATTTTGCTTACTTACCCCTTTTTATTCTTAGAACAATCCTGTGAAGAATGTACCTTGTTATTTATCTCCATTGTACCCTGGAGGAAACTAGCTCCAAGAATTGCTGTGACTTGTCCAATCCACCCATGTCTGGGTGGTTTTGGAGCCTATTATTTCCATTTTACTGTATTTCAGGGTCTCAAAGGATCATTGCCCCCGCCCCCAGGCCCCTTAGGCCAGTCCCCCTTCCCCATTGACATTCAATGTTTGTGCTCTCTATAGCATCCTTTACGAGTGGTTCTCAGGTATCTGCTTGCACACGTCCAGGAACAGGGAACTCACTCCCACCCAGTGCAGTTCATTCACTGTTCAGACAGCACCCACAAGGAAGGCTCCTTAATTCCTCATCTGGATCAAGGCAGGATGTAAAAAGAATAAATAAGCAAATAAGTGAGTGGAGGGGACATCTGTCTCCTAGCTGCTTCTTCTCATTGGTCCTAACTTTATCCTTTCAAATAACGAGAATAACTAACATTTATTGAGCAACTAGTATGTTCCAGGTACTGGGCTAAATGCTTTAGGTTTGTTACCTCATTTACACACAAGGACCCAGGAGTATAGAGAGGTTAAGTGACCTGTTCAAGGAGGCAGAGATGGAATCAGAACCCAGGGAGTCTGGGTGTGGAGGCCCTAAACTTGGCCACTGCAGTTCACCCCCTCACGAGCCCTAAATATGCCAGTGAAAGGGAAAGCTTCCGTGGTTCCTCCACTGTTCTTGTGTTGCCCCAGGACTGCAGGATGCTCCCTGAAAGGGTCTGAACTTTGCTGCTCTCTCCTCCCTCTGTCCTTGTTCCTCTTCTTCCCTCCTCTATGGGCCACCCCATCAGCCTGCCTGACGCAAGGCCAGGACTTTTTCTGACTTGCCACCCTTCCACGTAGCTCCAGAGAGGCATTCTTTCAGGAGGCCAGCAGAGGGTCAGGATGCTTCTGGCATCAGCTGGAGATAGCAGACTGGGCCCTTTCCTGGGTTGAGAAAAGTGAAAGTGTTAGTCACTGAGTCACGTCTGACTCTTCATGACCCCATGGACTTTAGCCCATCAGACTCCTCTATCCACGGAATTCTTAGGCAGGAATACTTGAGCGGGCAGCCATTCACTTCTCCAGGGGAATCTTCCTGACCCAGGGACTGAACCCAAGTCTCCCTCATTGCAGGCAGATTCTTTACTGGCTGAGCCACCAGGGAAGCCCTGAGTTGAGAAGGATGGATCCGTCCATCCCCCAGATGGGTTCCTGCTCTTGGCTCATAATAATAACACTGAGAGTGGCTGACATTCTGGGCATACACCGTGTGTCAGCTGAGCTGCGCACTTGTGGCGTGACCTCAGTAAATCCCAGGGCTGCTTGCCCGTGGAGATGGTCAGAGCTTGGCTGTGGAGAGGGTGTTTTAGTCTGCTCAGGGGCATCAGCAGCCTCAGGCTTCTCAGTGGGTACAGTCTGGGCTCTGAAATCAGGCAGACGTGGCTCCAGGGCTAGCACTGATATTTAGGGGCTGTGTGACCATGGAAACATTTCTTACTCTCTCTGAGCCTTGGTTGTTCATCTGTAAGACGGGCAGGAGAGGGTTGCTGTGATGATTTAATGATATCATTTGTTTTGAGTGCCTGGCATAGGTGAGTAAAGAGAAATGGAGGCGAAAACAGCTAGTGCTATCTTTTAACTGTGGTTCTAGGTGGATCTCCTGATTTCTGTTCAGGTGGGACTTTCGTGGTTTTGGCAAAAGTAGACCTATCTGGAGAGTGTGTTGGGTCATCCTGACACGTGTGGGTTTTATTTTTTTTTTTTGGTTGTGCTGCACAGCTTGTGGGATCTTAGTTCCCCAACCAGGGATCGAACCTGGGCCCCAGTAGTGACAGTGCTGAGTCTTAACCACTGAACCACTGGGAATTCCCTTGACACTTGTCTTTTGATGCCCTTCCAGGGTGGATGAGGAGGATGGTCAGCTTCCAGAAAAACTCAGAGAGTGTGTGTGTGTGTGTGTGTGTGTGTGTGTGTGTGTTTATTTTCTCTTAACATGTCTGAATGAGCCAAAGTTGCTATTGCTGTATTGTTTAGTTTTTCTTCCTTTTTTTTCCCCCCCAGAAAAGGAATGTTTGGGCTAAAACTGAAGAAGAAGAAGAATAAAGCAGAGAAGGGGTTAATCCTAGCCAACAAAGGTGCCCAAGGTGAGGCTTTTGGGGGTTGGGGAGGGACCACTACCCTGGGGCCTGCAGGTCTCCAGAGTTGACCCCTACTTGGCTGAAAAGGGGGTTCATTCTCCGTGGGAGTGAGGTGGGAACTGTGTCTGGGTTTTCGAACCCTGCCAACCCCAAGTGTGCACCCACGGCGATCCCCATCGGTGCTGGGTCATCTGGTCACTGAGCCAAACGGATGGGTGGACACCTGCTGGGCCATGAAAGGGCCCCCAGGGAGGCAGTGACAGAAGAATTCAGGCTCCCGGCTCTGTTCTGATTTGCTCTGTGCCCCAGAATAAATCACGCAGCACCTCCAAGTCCCAGCCTCTCCCTTTGGTAAGTGTTTGGAGTATGGGCTCAGCTGATCGTGGGAGTCATGGGGAGAAGCAAGTGAGATGATGAAAATCAGCGGGAGGGCAGCAGCTGCTCTGGGGAAGGCTTTCCATCCACAGACTCATTTAACCCCTCCATCATCCTGCCAGAAAGTACAGTCATCCCGGTTTCACAAATGAGGTCACCGAGATGCAGTGAGAGGACGTGAAGTGTGGAAAAGACCAGCTGCAGGATTGCAGGGCTAAGTGGAAAAACCAAAATGCAAAGCCATTGTCAAGAACTTATTAAGAATAGCTGGATGGGGATTGCAGAGCACTAAGCCAAGGAGTTATTACAGGGCTCATCACAGGGCTCAGCAGGCTGCACAGACCCATGAAGCCGGCCTTGAGGGTGCGGGGCGCAGAGCCAGGAAGCAGCAGCACTGGGATGCAAGTCCAGACTCTCCGATATTCTACACTTAGAACGGGCTACTTGTTTCTCCAAAAGCAGAAAATCCCAAGTTACAAGGTGACCTGCGGCGGTGGAGGCCAGGCACCGAATCAGGGAGACAGTCAAATGTAGGATCAACCGCTTCCAGTGGACAGGTCTGGGGTGATGCCTGGAGACTTCTGCTGGGTGGCCCTGACAACAGCCAGTTCAAAGCCAGCTTTCTGGACTGTTTCTAAACCAAAATGGTGCAGTGGGTCTGCTTTATTTTCGCTCTCCTTGTCTCCTTGGAGGGATCCACCATTTACCCTTCACTGCTGTCTCCTGCAGGTGGCCTGTAGCCTTATCTCTGCCCTCCCCCACTCCAACTCCACTCCTCACTCTCATGTAAAACCCAATCTTACACAAGAAAAATATGGGGACTCATCACACTGAAGTGCTAATAATAATAATGATTAAGTCATCCTTGGATGGGACAGGAGAGGCATCACATTTTAAGTGGAGACAAGGTTTAAAGCTCAAGAGAAATACTTGCCTATTGGGTGAAATAGAAGGTATCAGGGAGTGGGTAGAAAAGACTCTAGGGTCTTTTCTGATGTCCTTGAAATTACAACCCTAAGTAGGACCCTGCAGTAGTCCTGGAGGTACAAGGTTGAAAAACAGTTCCTTTCTTCAAGGACCATATGAAAAATAATATCCCTGACACATTGAATAAGCCCCTTCTGCTTTTGACTTGACATACATCATTCATAACTCTGAAATGTAGATTCTTTTGACCCCATATTATAAGAGGTTCAGAGAGGGTAAGTGCTTGCTCAAGGTCACACAACCAATAGACGGAGAAACTGGCTCCTGAGGCTGGGTTGGTCTTACACCAGAGCCCAAGCTTTCCTACCCCATGGGTCAGCCTCCAGTGAGGAGCCTTTACTGCTTGTGCAGCAGGGAAAGAATAAGCTGGTAGAGATTTAGGGCAGCTGACCAGAGGCATTTCAGAGGACCCGGCGCCCATGGCTCATTCTAATTAGAGTCTTCAGCCCACAAAGCAAACAGGGCAAAGAGGAATCAGGCCTCTCCTGGAAAGTAAATAGTGTCCATCCTGCTGGCCAGGGCCTGACCCTGCAGACTGACAAAACAAAGTCTATGGACCTGAGTACAAGTTGGTCTTTCCTTCTTGGCATGACTGGGGAGGTTAGGACTTCTCTGGTGAAATGTTTAGTGATTCTCAAAGTCTGTGGCTCTTACATCTGTGTATTTTGAGACCTAATAGCTATGCCTTAATTTTGTAAAATTCCAGGTACCTTGACCCAACCTTCATTAGGGCTTCCCAGGTGGCTCAGTGGTAAAGAACCTGCCTGCCAATGCAGGAGACAAAAGAGATGTGGGTCTGATCCCCGAGTCGGAAGACCTCTGGAGGAGGAAATGGCTACCCTCTCCAGTATTCTTGCCTGGGAAATCCCATGGACAGAGGAGCCTGGCAGTCTGCAATCCATGGGGTCTCAAAGAGCTGGGACACAACTGAGCTTGTAACATGAGCACGTACCCATTAATTAGTTACCCAATGAGTAGTTGTTGGGTACCTTCCACAATCATCATTCATTCAACAAATATCAATGGCATGTCTCCTAAGTGTCAGGTGTTGCACCAGATTCTGGGTATATAGTGGTGACACTGGATAGTTTAGAGGGAGGACAGTGCTGTGGGGAACTCTTGCACTTGTCTCAGATTTATTCTCCACCCTTGTTCATCTGTTCTCAGTTCTAGGAGGCTGACCCCGTTGGATACATGACCCAACTCACTTCCCCAGTGGGGCACTCCAGCAGGAGGTCTGGGGGAGGGAGAAAAGGGAGGTCAGGGTGTATCCCCCAACTGGTGGATGGTCGTCCCTCCTTCTAGGGAAGCCCACGGGACCTGACCTCCTCTCTTCTCAGGTGCTAGTAACTATTCCCTCTCCTCATCTGGAGGGTCCCCAAGTGGTATCAGCTTGGCTGCCTTGGGCTCCAGGAGGGTCTCCAAGTGGTATCAGCTTGGCTGCCTTGGGATCCAGATATCTCTACAATCCTTTGTAATTTTTCTACACCCACACCTTTGTAAAAAGTCTTCAGAACATCCTGTCCTGGTTGGACCATCTGTTATCCATGGGGGCCCTGGTGAGGAAACTGCATTACAAGTGGAGAAAAGTGCTAAAAAGAAAACAGACCATGTGCTTAAGTGGAGCCCATTGGGGGATTTCTTTTAGCGTGGTTTGAGAGGGGCTCCCTGGGGGGAAATATTTAAGTTACAACATTGAGGATGAGTGGGAGCCCACCAGGGCAGGGAGAGAAACTCAGGCAGAGCAGCCTGAGAAGAAAAACTCCAAGCAGGAGGTGACTTGTTAGAAGGGAAGGGAGTGAGTATACTAGAAGGCAATGAGGGCTGGGCCAGAGGGGCAGGTGGCCCAGGAGGAGACGGCAGTCAGGTAGGTAGGGAATTAGAGTCCTGTGCAGACTTCAGACATATTCTAAGGGCAGTTTTTCAAAAGAGGGGTTTTCAAAAGAGAAACATAATTTTTTTTTTTAAAGAAGGTTACAGTGGATGCTGCTTGGTTACTTGATTGGAGAGGACACAGTATTTCAGTGAATGAAAGAATGAGTGAGTGAATGAATGAAGGAAGGAGTGAATGAATGAAAGAATGAGTGAGTGAATGAATGAATGAAGGAGTGAATGAATGAAAGAATGAGTGAGTGAATGAATGAAGGAGTGAATGAATGGATGAGTGAGTGAATGAATGAAGGAGTGAATGAATGAAGGAGTGAGTGAGTGAATGAATGGGTGAGTGAGTGAGTGAGTGAATGAATGAGTGAATGAATGTTGGCTATGGATGAAGCTTCAGCTGACTGCCTTCCCACCTCCAGGTCAGTCTCACCCTCCTGCATATAAACCCCCACAGGGAGGGGTCCATGTTTTGCTAATTCCTCCATCTTGCACATCTAACATGGCCCAGATTCTGGCATGTGTAAGGTTCCTAAGAATGTTCACTGGAAACCCGACTCTGTCACAGTTGCTCTTCGTTCCTGAGGCCCTTGTGGTCAAGATGGGCAGCAAGGCTGAAGTTTATCTTCACACTTCAAGTTGGGCAGTTAGGTGTGGGCATTCCTCTGGGGTCTCTGCAGGCTGGGCTTGTCTTTTGTTTCCCGAGTGACAGAGGAGTCAGAGCAGGCAGGGCGGGCTCAGTCATCCTTTCTATGATACTGGACACCTATGAGGTCCGGGTCCATGAGCTCCTGTGGCTCCAGGGGCTGCGTTATTCTGTCTTCTGACTCGGTTCTGTTTTGTTGGTTTGCTAATTCAAATCAGAGAATCAAAATATATCAAAGCTGGAAGGGGTTTAGAAGCTTACCAGTTTCCCATAGAGCCCGGGGTTCTAAGAAATGGCTTCAGGGGTGGCTGAAGAGGGTGATGGTGAGGCTGGGAGAAGGTCCCTGCCCTGCATTCCACCCCATGGTACATAGAACAGCTTGGTGCCAACAGACTTGTGTTGTATATTGAAGTTTAGTATAAAATTACATTTATGGAAAGGGTCCGGGGTCTGATCTCTTTTGGGAACATTATTCAAGCTTTGACACCTTGCTACTCAAAACTAGCCCACAGACAGCAGGAATGGCCTCACCAGGGACCTCGCTTTTAGACACGCAGAGTCTTGGGCCCTACGCCGGACCTACTGAATGAAAATCTGCATTTTAACAGCTTCGTAGGTGATTCTTATGCACATGACATTTTGCTAATGAGACGCAGAGGGAATAAATTAGTTGTCTAAAGTCTAAATGTGGCAAGGTTGTGACTTGAAAGCGCATCTTTAAATTCCTAAGCCATAACTCCACAACACCAGGCATACAAATCTACCCTTTTTTTGGAAACAGAAGATGTATAATGTGTCTGGCCTTTCTGCCAATAAAATGTTAGGGTCCAAGAGGTCAA